CGGCATTTTGGATTAATTGTAGAGGTTTGATAGAAGTGGCTGGAAGACCTGCCAAGAGAGCATTGCAATAGTTCAGCCTGGATAGAACAAGAGCTTGAACAAGGAGTTGTGTTGCATGTTCTGAAAGAAAGGGCCTGATCTTCCTAATGTTGTATAAAGCAAATCTGCAGGACCAGGCAGTTTTAGCAATGATGAAATAATATAAAGTGGGACCCAAAAATACGTTAGAGCATATGTTGTTTATGGACCACCTTAAACCTCCTTAACACACACAGCTAAATATCTAGTTGAGTACCTGTTAAGTCTCCTGCCTGCTTGTAAATTTTAAGCAATCCTAAAGACTTGGGTTAGATTTTTCAGGTCTGTTTGATTAGGGATAGAGCTAAACTCTGCAGGATGGTGGCCCTCCGGGACCAGAGTTGCCTATCTCTGATATACTTCAAGCTGCACTGTGCTTTGGAAGACATCCAGTAAAATTGGTTGCTAAGTTAAGGCATGATACAAGAACCCAACACACGAGCTCCACAGCATGCAATGATCAAAAGAGGCTTTCTGTTAGAAACTAGAAATAGTGGTAACAATGTCAGATATTTTGGCATGGAATTATGAGAAGATGAGTAAGTTTGTGAATTTTATTTACATGTGCCGGAATCCCCAGGGGCTTCTGCTTGAGCTCCCAGAGGAATGACAATTTGAACCTAAAATGATGAGCAGAGATTTAGTTTAACAAGTCCAAACTTTCCCTCTTAAATCTCTCAAGCTTGTAGAATAAAAAAAAAAACCCTCAGGCGATTGGTTAATTCCGCTGAACAGCGTGGTGCCAGTGGAAGGAAGCAGAGAGGCTTCTGGTAAAAGCCATGAAATCAGCAGGACTGCTGGTCTTGACACCAGCCAAAAACACAACCCATAGAGTAGGAAATGTGCATGAGATATATAGTAGAGACAGATATCCTAGGTGAGATGAAGACAGTCTCACATTAAACATAAGAGACAAAAACAGAAGGAGACAAAGATACAAGAATCCACTTCTTCTAAAGTCTGCAACTCTCTTCTCTTTTTCTGGTGTCTTCTCTCTCACATTCTCTTTCATACACACTCTCATTCAGGCTACTTGGATGCACTGAAGGGATTGAAGATAATCCGGTGCCAAAATTTACTG